TGACAGTTAATAATTAATCTTTCACAGACTATTAAAATCATCTGGGGCCGGTAGTTGAGTAGTTCAAAGGCTTTCACGGGCTTCGAACAACCGAGCCCAGATGATTTTATTAGTATGTGAAAGAGTAATATTATTAACTGTCAGTTTATAAATATAATGGGCAAATTAGAGATGGAGTATATAAAATTATTACTAAAGTAGGCTCATTGCCAATTGATGGATTAGGTTAACATAATTAATAAACTATAGATGGTTTTGTTGCGCATCTCACTCGATGGAAATTTTAATGTTGGGTTTTGTTGATGGATAAATCGAGTACTTAATAATTTGAATTAAAATATGGACCTAACCAGGCCCTTATTGCCTCAATGGCATCTTATTCAAATAATCATTTAACTTCAAATAAAGGGATCTCCCTCAATTGATTTAGCCTGCAGAGGGCCAACCCCATTCCTGGATCACTTAACCTGAAATTCAGGCCCTACTTTCAATTTTCTGTCTGCATCCTTTTGAATGTTCAATATTTTTAACCTTTAACATTAATGATAATGATTATTCAATTAAAGTCAGCAATTTCTTTTTCATCCTGAGAACATCCAGTTAATTCAGTCCTCCTGAATTTGTTTGACACTCCTTAGCAGTGATATTTCTGTAGATTTGCCATTATTTTATTCCAGATATGAACTCACAGGCCCTATAAATTATGATTAAATACATAGTGCCATTAATTTACAAAATGGACCTTTGCAATGTTTATGCATGCACTAGTCAATTGAAACCCCCAACCCCAGGGACAGGGCGGGGAATTAACGGGGAAATGGCCGTGGATTAACACAGTCTTAATGCAGATTTCCCCCAGGGTAATAAATAACAAATCAATTTATTAGCCAGGACAATTAATTCCCAAGTCATGAAAATTTCCCAAGTCATGAAAATTTGCAAAGTGCTGGGACCATAGGGACAGTAATTTTAACAGCCAATATTCTCCCGGTAGCAGGGAAATGTCCAAAATTTAACATTGTCAAAATGTTAATTTCCCCTCCCTATCCCGGGGGTCGGGGTTTCAATTGACTAGTGCATTATGGTGGGATGCAGACATGCAGCCCCAATTGTATGTTCCCCACCATATTTTACATGGCTCATGCCATATAACTTCAGTACATGGTCATTTTTGGATCCATGCCTGGGACATATCATAATCTTGAATCTAATTTGGGTATTCAATCATGTTTAATAGACATCTATGCAGTCCACATATGGACTGGTCATGCTAAGTCTATTGCCAAAATAGCCTCCATCTACACAGACCACAACAAAGGTATAAAAATTACTTACCAAGTGATCACCCATTGTATATAATTTGTCTGACATATTCATAAATCTTTATTTTTATACTTAAGTTTACACTACAAAAAGGATAAAAATGAGACAATAATTACTTTTGAGCATAATAATGGTCCTAATTATCCCCCATAGCCATGTGATAAAATCATAGCTACCTCCTTCATACCTTCCATGACAATTATAGAGGGCCCCCTATACCTCTTCACAATATGCTTTCACGTAAAAATATTTTGCCTTTTCACGAGTCACGGATTAAGAAAATCATCGATCACGTTTCACGGCTAAGTAAAATAAGCCCTTCACGCAAAACGTATAGGGGGCCCGATCACGTTTCACGGCTAAGTAAAATAAGCCCTTCACGCTTCATGCAAAAAGTATAGGGGGCCCTCATTATAGTCACCTGCATGCTTAACCAGGAAATAAAACTATGAGGAAATATGAGAAATGGCTAATTATTTAACTGTATGCACTCTTACCTACTTACCTATAATCTATCCATCACATATTATATGCAGTAAATACATCATTCTTGGTGTGTAAACTGATCAAATATTTGGTTGACCTTGTTAAAACACAATAGGAATTGTTTATATATAGCAGTGATCAAAATTACAAACAACAATAGAGACGGAAGGGGCGGAGAACATATGATATGATTTTGACATATTCAAAGTTAAAAAGACTCTGACAGAAATTTAAAGTGCAATTGGAAAAATTTCAACAATATTTTGAGAATTAAATGTTTTGTTTATATTACGGCTTTTTATTACAGTATGACCGTGGTTTCTTGTTTCATATATACCGGCTGAAAATATCGAGAAAAATATCAAAATGCAATACCTATATAAAAGTACTATAAACTTTGTGCGTGTGCATTTCTTCGTGTACTATGAAAATGACTAAAATTAAAAGGTCGCGTTGTTTTAAGCTTTTACAACTAACCTTACCTCAAAACAAGACACTTACCAAGTTATTTTCTTCAGTATTTTCCCCTCAAATGCTCAATCTTCAGAAAAAACCACAAAGTTTAAACCACATTTATTTTGCTGTAAAAGCCCGTTTGATTTCTTGCTCTCGTGATATTCGTGGCATTCGTCCGTTTTGCATCCCAGCGGTTCGCAACAACCAATAAAAACACGTTTTCGTGTTGTTCAAATCATTATTTTACCGTCTATTTATAACAATGCTGTTCACGGTTGTTCGAACAACTAAAAACAACTTGTTCTTTCATCAATGTTGTTCACGCTTGTTCGAACAATATTGTTGACGCCTGATGAATGAACAACGCTGAACAACATTGTTCTGACAACATTTATCAAGCATGTTTCATCAACCTTGTCGGACGCTTGTTCCATCATGTTGCAACAACCATTGTTCGTTCATCAAGCGTGAACAAGTTGTTGGAACAATGTTGTTAACGATTGTCGCTTGAACAACGTTGTTCAGCCATGATAACCTCATTGTTGCAACGTTGTTCAGCGAACAATGTTGCAACAACCTAACCTGATCAATTTTTACGCGTGTAGTAAATCCAATCTCGTTCCCCGAGCCTGCGATCCTTGGGAAGGAAACGAAGGCTCTGGGATAATCACTGAGCTATACTATATTACTGGAGGACGTGCTCGGGATAAAAAAGTGAAGCCAAAAACATGGCGGATTTTCACGCCATTTCCATGGCAACTGGTTCCTTTTGGCCATGAAAATACCACTGACCAGGCTCATTTCTGAGCCCACTACAGTTTTCACACCCCCCTGGTTTTTTCAAAAATATTCATAGGTTTTTCGAGTTTTTGCAGTGAATTCTCGTTGTTTTTGATATTTTTCGACCTGCGACCATCTATTCAAAGAAGTACAAGTCGTAAACATCCGGGAAAGACCACAAACGCCTTGCAAAATGTTGGCAAAGACGATATTTGAAGCAAGACCACAGCCAGGTAAAAATACTATTGAAAAACAATATAATATGCATTTATTTTTTAGCATGAGAAGCTTTGTACAATATAGTGAATATTTTAGCTACGATTATTTAAGTGTTATCGTACAAATGTAGAGATATTTCACCACATTTCCTCCCACAAACCGACAAACGCAAAGGGTTCAAATTTAACATGCTTGAATTTCATACTATTCAGATTTCCTGAGTATAAACTTTTATTTGTATCAAAGGAAGAGTATAAACTGAGTATAAACTTTTATTTATCTGGCAGATTTGCTGAGTATAAACTTTTATTTACAGGTGTGAGGACATGCATGAAACTACTATGTGCTGCTATCTTTAAAAGAGGGATCTAGGGTGTCAAAGAAATCAGTGTTTTGTCAAGAAACTTATGTACCAACTTAACATGTCATATAAAGCTGAGGCCTCTTTTCCATTCATTGCAAGACCAACATAACTTTTGCCAGTGTTTTCAACCAATCGTCTTTCTCCCCCACTTTACATGGAAGCATGGAATCATTCACAGTGAACTTGTGAGTTGATTTTGGCACACTATAAGTTGAAAGTGGCATGAGGGTGCTGAAAGGGTGCCGGGAGAAGCCAACATGGTGCTGTGGGCACTTGACCTGGTAACACAATTTTTACCTAGGTTTCTGGGCAATGGTGTGTTGGCTTGATAATTTCCGTTCTTGATTATTGTGTGCCAGTGTGCAGTTGATAGTAAATAAGATAGTTTGTAGGGGTCCACTCACCACTGGATCTCAGTTTAGGTTAAAACCTGGAAAATATATGCCAGGCAGATTATAAATTGTACTATATATAAATTGTATTATATAGGAATGGCTATAAATATGGCTATAAATTGTCAAATAAAATCACTTCCAGCTCTGGCTGAAATTTTTGTTCAGTTACTGGTCAACTGAACTCTGGTCCAAACTTGAATTAAACATGTTGGTTCTTGTCTCAGCAACTGAGATACTCCCATATCAGATGCTCCCATATAAAATTTGCAGGCTTGAGTGTACAATGTACATAGCCATTTGAAAAAATGAGAATCAATTTGTACATTTTGAACAAAGACTTACTTAAATCCAGGTAGTTGCATCATACATCAAAACCTGCAATAAAGCTTTGAGTTTGCTACTGTAATCTCCCTGTTAAACCTCACCCCCCCCCCACTCTAATACCCCACCCCCCCAATTTAGATGAAAAAATTGTTGAGCCCCCTCTCTATTAAACATTCTTTATAATTAAGACATCATTTATCACACAAAAAGACATGTTTTGGTGAGATTTATTTCTTTTCTGGCTCACACAAATCACAATTGTATTGTGCTTGCAGGGCCATGCCAACTGACACATCTTTGGGAGGGTGAATACAGAACTTTGGGCCCCTTCGCTTTTTGGGTCCCCAAAATTATTCGCAGAATTTTGGCGGGGGGTAATTGTTTCTTTTCCCAAACCGTTGTTTGCAAAAAGGTTAATTAAAATTTTTTCAGCGTAACATTTATAAAATTGGCCTCAATTTTGCACAACATTCCCAAAAAATTCATATGTTTGGCAATTCCAGCATTTGGGCATTTTATTAATATTTATATCAACTTCTTTATTTATGGAGGGTAGACACATAACAGTAAAAAGTGACAAACCAGTGGCCCTCCAAAAATTGGGGGACACATTTCAAAAGATTGGACCCGGGGATGTTAGACCCCCCAGTCCATCCAGCCCTGTGTGCTTGAAATAAATTATCATTAATTCACAGATAAATAGATACCCTCCCTCCTTTACCCTACATTACCCCCAGGGGTTTTCACTATTTTGTTTATACCTTCTTAAAAGAATAATTATAAATCAGCAAGAAAAAGTTTTACAAACTATATATACAACCATACAAGTTATAATTATAACTGTAAACATTCATATTGTATTTAAAAACACTACTGACAATAACATGATTCTATGTTTATCACAGTCTGATAGCAATGATAAAATGAAGTTATCTTTCCAGTTCAGGCAGGAATTCTGGCCAGGGCCCTTACTTTTGTAAGTTGGACAATATTTAATTTTAACATATGGTGCACCACTACATGTCTGATGTCTACAACACCACTCTTGATATTTGAACATTTAAGACCTCGGGTGGCTTTCTTTTTCACATTTCAGTATCAGCGCCTAGATAAAAAAAATCCGGCATGTTTACAATTTTACAGTAGCAAATGGCATGTATTGGGTCATTCCAGCTAAATCGAAGATCGGAATTAACCTAAATATGTTGAGTGGCAGCACCTTCCCCGTGACGAGTAAAATTGTCCAGCGTTAGACAGAGTAAAATAATAATGTAGGGCGCATCTGGGCACATTGCCACTTAAAGGGTTAATAATACAATGTGGGTAGTGCTACAAATCATAAAACTCATGTTCAACCCAGTAAGCCGCATTGTGTCCTGATGCACCCTACTTTATTATTTCACTCTGTCAAATGCCAGGTTATTTTACTCATCAAGGGGTGAGTGCTGGCCCTCAATGGATTAATCAGGCTATCTGCTCATGTGTCTATAGTTAAATGTTCTGGCCCTCAATGGGTTAAATAATATAAACTGCTTGATGCTGAACTTTTGGAGAGTGCTGGAAAGGTTGGCTGTGCACTCACACCCTACATGTCCTGTATAAAATACAAAGCTACACAGTAGATAGCTGCTATTTCAAAAACCTGGCAAAACTTAAAAACCTAATCAATAAACAATTTTAAAAACAAAACACAAACCGAAGCACCATGAAACCAAAGAAATGAGTTTAATAAAACAAGACAGGAAAGAGTTTGTCCAGGAAAACTTGCTTAAAACTACAATGTCAATGTAGAAATGAAAAAACTGCTGTAACTAGTAATACTCGAAGTTTTAATATAGCATCAGGTTTTGACATATATCCACGAGTGTTTGTAAGATATATGGCAACGTTGCCAAGCGAGAAAGTAAAAAAATCTGAATCTTACCGGTAATATTCTCCTTTTAGAGCCATAACAGGCACAGCAAAAATGTACCGTCTTCCCTGACTTTGTAAAACAGACGAAATTGATGAAAAATATCAAGATTTTCAGTTCAAAGACAAACTATTAAAACCAAAATATTTATATTTGTGAAAAAAACCAGGGGGGTGAAAGATATTGTTTAAAGCGTAGGATCGCGGTTGGTCAGTGGTAATTACCATGAGAAATAAGAACCAGTAGTCATGGCAATGGCGTAAGATCCGCCATGTTTTTGGCTTCACTTGAACAGTGAACTATCAGGCGGTGTGCGCACTGCGACCGCAATGCATCATGAGTAAAATAAAAAATTCACTCATTTGCGTTCTGACGTTCGACGTGAAAACACTGTGCACGGCCGAGCGATGGGTATATTAAAAGTGTCTTTTGCCCTTCTTGAAAGAATCAACAGTGGCAGTACATGTCAAAGAACTTCTGGAAAAGTTTGTGCAGTCGATGCATCCTGCTGGCTGCACAAAGCGTTGGCTGTGAGTTTCAAAGATTTGGCGATGATCGCAAGTATGTTTTTATTTATATGTTTACTTATCAATTTGTGCAGTGTTTCAATCGCTAAACTTATGTATATTCTATTTACTTTATTGTTCTTATGACTGTATTGTTATTATAATTATTATGCAACCTTTTCAGGGTTGTGGACATACGGTAAAAGTATGCATAGACACGGAAATTTTTCTGCAACATTATATTGTTTAATTTAATGCAATATACAAGCCAGTTATATGCTCAGTACAGTATCTGTAAAATTCCATGTAATTTTAGTTATGCTTAGAATTTGCCCATCATTTTAGCACTTCTAATGCCATCATAGGTCACAATTTCTATAGTTTGACTACACAATCTTACCTAAAAACTATGGGATGAAAATCATATATGCCATGCCAATTCAATTTTTGGTATCACAAATATTGTAAATATAATGTAACATTGAAAAGAGATGAGGTGCTGTTTATATGATCTCGGGTTGGGAGAGGCAAAATTATATTCATTATATAACATTTAAACGCAAGTGTTTATATGGAAAGTTTTCGTCTCGGCTGGTAGGGTCACCCTGGCAGTAGGGACACCCTGTTTACAAAACAGGGTTACCCTTGTAGGAGGGACAACTTTTGTCCATGTAAATAGTTTGTCTCGGCCTCCAGGGATAACTTTTCATTCCCAGGCCTTCAAACAAATAACTGCATGTTTCAGGAGTCACAATCTCATACTTAAAGCCATTCTCGTAGGAAGAGATACAGTGCCAGGGCTATAAATTTTTTTCATATAAACATGCAGTGAAGTTGTCTCGTGTGGATTGGGTGTCTCTAGTATCCAAGGTCATATA